ATTCCCTTCCCCCCCCCCCCCCCCCCGCCTATATACATCCGGCTTTCACACCCACTCAGAGATTATCGGAGCGGGAAACGCGTGTGTCACGCCGCCTCTTACGAACACGGCCTACGAGAGCAAAGATTCTCACAAAATCGCTAACCATCGACGACGACGCCTAAACCCGCTGATACCGCCCCCGCGCTCCTTCGATTAATTCGCCGCGACGCGGAATCGATATCGGGCGGAAGAGACACGACGCCGATAAGCCACGCTCGAAACAGCCGACGTTGCTGATAAACGTCGAATCTCCGCGAGACGACGATTCGCTGAAATATCGCGCGACAACAACGACGACGACCGAGAGCCAAGCGCGACTTCAACGTGAGGAAGATCAAGATCGCGAGAGACGCAGTAGTGATTTCCCACGCGGAGGATCCACGCACAAAAAGACAGTTGCGGATCGTCGCGTACATGGGACATTAAAAACGTCGCATCGTGCTTAAACGGAAGATCTGCCGTCTGTAGTAAGGTATAATAAGTTTGAAGTAGTCGAACGACTCCGAGGCATACGCGGGATTTCGTGTTCTCTTTGTGTGGAAGAAGGTGAGAGCGAAAGAGAGAGAGAGAGAGAGAGAAAAAGAGAGAAGGGAAGGGATGAATGAGTGTATGCACGTGAGCGAATGGTAAGAGAGATTGACGAGACAGGGTGAAAGTGGTGGAACGCAAGGGTGGACACTGCGAAATCCCGTGAACAACTGCCGACGAGCTCGTGTCGCGAGTTGCGATCGTATCCTATAAACCGAAACATATATATCCTTGGCAAGATCAGTCGACGCGAGTGCACGCGACCGGGGAAAAAGGCGCCGATCATCACGCGAGGAGGAGTTTAAGAAGGAAGAGTGGGAGAGAGAGAGAGAGAGGAGAGTTATCGGTGGTGAATTCGGTGGTGGAGAGTCCCGGGACTTTCTCCCTCTAACGGTAGAGGCCAGCGCACGAACGGGGGATTCTTCGGTCTTCCAGGAGTGTGGAAGAATGGCAATGGTCAACATGAATAACCTACTGAACGGCAAGGACTCGCGGTGGCTGCAACTGGAAGTCTGTCGGGAGTTCCAGCGCAACAAGTGCACCAGGCCCGACACGGAGTGCAAGTTCGCTCATCCACCGGCTAACGTCGAGGTGCAGAACGGACGGGTCACCGCCTGCTACGACAGTATCAAGGTAACGAACCGTTGCATAATCGAGTTTCCGTGCTCGCGCGTAACGAGCGCGTTCGCGCGGAGCGGAATCGTCGGCTGATAAACTCCGCTTCACTTATCTCACACCTTCGGATAACCGACCAAAGTTACCGCGACTATCCCGGTGAAATCTGAAGCTCTATCATTATTATAGCTATTTGTATCAATGCGCGTATCGGTTCTGTCGAGAAATTGTACAATTCTCCTTAGTTGATCTCGATTCTGTTAGATAAGTGAAGTTTAAACGTATAGCTAATTCAATATTGCTTATCTCTCTTATCTTTACATTGGAGCTAATAGCTTTATTATTATAATATCAAATAAGAAATGTTGACAATGCATGATGGCGCGATAATAATGACGTCATTATTAGTCATTGCAATTTCGAGAAAAATTATTCTCATTCTGTTAGATAAACAGAATTGTCGTGCATTTTGATCTCTACGTGCTATTAGAATACTGTAAGATAGAGTTTACACACGCTGAATTAACTTTATAACAGAATAGATAAAAAATGTCGAAGCTGATATTTAAGAAAATTATCGACAAGCCATTGCGAATCTCTTTGTGGATATTCGGACTCGCGGATTATTTTCTTCCACATCTAAAATGCACTCTGAAAATCTTATTGTAACGCAGAGGTTAATCGCGCGCATTAGGGCTCTTTTCATCCCGCTACAATCGATCCAAATGAATACATGCACGGGATCGTCGATCGATCTCCCGCCTGCGCTTTCCGACTGCTGATCTCCCGATACAAAGCCGATAATTTGTAACGCCACACGGTGCGATAAGGAATCGGTTGTAATTTACGACGGGTAATAAGTCTCTTATCGCCGATCAGCACTCGAAGGGTGGGACGGGGGGTGGGGAGGGGGAAGGTTTATGGATTTTAGAATATTCCGTCTCTCGTGCGCGTTCTCGAAGCAAGGCGCGATTAAATGAACGCGAGAAAGAAGGAGGAGGCGCGGCCCGTCTCGTCTTCCCAGATATTGAACTGGAGAATTGAATTCGCAGTTATTAATAGCGACAATTATTCAACGCGCGGGGAGCGAGAAAATACCAATCGACATTGTCGATAAATCAGACGTGAGAGGCAACGAGAATTATGTAAAAAATTGAACGAGACCGTTCATTCGCGCCTGTTGTCGACGATGGTGCCCTATTGTCTGATGGCACCTATACACGCACGCGCGGTCTAGCGATTAGATAAAACGGGGAAAGAGGAAGAAAAAAATATGTGTCTGTGTGTGCGCATATATATATATATAT